AAATAATGATTCATAAATAAGTATGCACTTACATTTATTCTATATTTAGAACAGAATGTGTGCAAGACTCCCGTTGGTCTTGGAAACATGGATTTGTTATTTAAATATTCTGATTAAATTACTCTACAGTAAGTCATACTTATTTCAGAGTAACAAAAGGAATGTGCATCATAACTTGGACTAGAATAAATTCTGCATAAAAATACATTACTGTTTATTGTGTTTCATTTGCTTTGGATGTACAGGAAAGTACACTAATGTTTAAATGTTTGGGGTCAGTAAGGTTTTATGCTGTTGGAAGATGTCTCATACTCACCAAGCTGCATTTGTTTTAGCAAAACTACAGCAAAAACAGTAATACTGTAAAATATTAGTTTTGCAATTTAAAACATTATATTAATCTATTTATATATATATGATAAAATGTAATTGTTACAATCCAGAGGGCACTCCACCTCACACTGTTGCCACTTTCTCAAAACTGTATTCCTCATAATCCTTTGCCTGGACTCTTGATCATTGATTGCATTCACCTGTGTCTTGTTACCTCATCAGTCTCACCCTATTTAAAGCCTGGTTTTTCACTCATTCATTGCTTGGTCTTGGTTGTTGTCACATTGCTTCTCTGAGGCCATGTCCACACGTACACGGGTATTTTTTATAAAGTTTTTCCTCCTTCCGTTTTAAAAAAAATCTCCGTCCACATGAAAATGCAAACGCATGCTATGAAGCACTGTCAAGAGCATGCCCAACCAACAGGTGGCGATATAATCTCAACTGTAAAACCATGTTGGCCAATCAGAAGCCTGAAAAGGTTTCCAGTAGACGGAGATAACAGCGCAGGCTCCGACGTCACAAGCCAAAAACTCCGGTTTCGCTGTCTACACGATAACACTGCAACCGAAGTTTTCGAAAATCTTCACCCTGGCAGGAGTTTTCAAAAATGTTTGGTTTCAGTGACCTGGTGCTGCGTGTGCATGTGGACAAATGGCCAAACCACGTTTAAAACTGCAAAAAGCTGTGGTTTTAAAAATAACCACGTTTGTGTGGACAGGGCCTGAGTCTGCATGTCCTGGTTCCTGTGTCTTGGTTGGATTTTGCCTGGTTTCCTGTTTTTTTTTTTTCTTCTTAGTTTTCTGCCCTGTTTGCTACCCTTTGGACTGACTACCCTGTGTATGACCTCAAGCTAGTGATGGGAGAAACAAACCTTTTTGAAGCTTCAAATCAATTGCTTCGCAAAATGATTCACTGTTTCGAAGCGCTTGAAACACCACACTCTAGTGATGCCTGCTAATTAAAAGTGTGTAAATGCAACAAAAACTCTTAAAACATGCATACAAACAGATTTTAAAAGCCCATTGCGAATGTTTTATTGAAAGTATAAACATTAAATGCAATAAAAATAAAATACCATTAAATATAAAGTGTCTGTATAATCTGTGGTTTTTAAAATATTTTATATTAATTTGCAGGGCTTGTTTTGTTTGTTTTATGGAGAGCTTGTATATAGAGACCAGTAAGAGGCTGTACACTACTTCTCATCCTTTTAATTACACAAATGTCTCGTTAAAAATTTCTGCAATTTGATGAAACTGATCCGAGATCAGGTAAAAACCATATACATTGGTTCAATGGTTCGCCGCTGGGAAGCGGGCTCAATGAACTTGCATGATTCACGGGTTTACAGAGATCGCCCCCCAATGGCAAACCATTGATATTTTGAAACGTTTCGAAACAGTTATGATGTAATGAAGCCTCGTTTACTGAAATCACATGACTTTGGCAGTTTGATACGCGCTCCGAACCACTGTTTCGAAACAACTGATTCACAAAAGTTTCGAAGCTTCATGAAGCAGTGCTTCAAAAGCACCCATCACTACCTCATGCCTGTGTATGGTTTATGGCTTTGGATTACCCTAATAAACTGCATTTGGATCCCTAATCTTCGTGTCTTTGTGCAGATCGTGACAGTAATTTTCAGCAGTCTTGTGATAGTTTTTTTCTCAGTTAAGCATTTGAAAATCATTATTATTATTATTATTATTACTTGTAATATTATAAATGTATTTGTTGTCACCTTTTATCAGTTTAATGCATCCTTTCTGAAAAAAAAAGTATTAATTTCTTTAAAAAAATCTTACTGACTTCAAACTTTCGAAAGGTAGTGTGTGTGAAAAGCCCTTACATAGTTTGGCTTGTTATATGCTAATTACTAAATCACAGCTATGCATTTCCTCACTCAGAATAAGGCAGCTTAATTAATATTAGAGTGAGGGTAGAAAGTAGGAATAAAACTGTGTACACACCTGTTTTGGCAGAAATGCTTGAGCATCTTTTCTGTACATGCAAGTATTAAACTGACTAGTGAATGAAACCCAATGTCCTTAGTTCTCCACTTGGATAATGGTTCACAATTTATTTCTTCTCTCTCACATGCACACAGGAGGCAAACGTCAAGGTACAGATATATATTAAAACAAAGGAAAGGTGCAATTGGTTCAGTACAGACGGTGTAAAAAAAGAGGGAGGCAGATGGAGGGGATGGTGGCTAATGTAGGATTTAATTGTCATAGTGCACCACCTTCATGCTGTGGTGAGAATAAAACACTTTGTGCCAGCAGGAATAAAACCTCAGCTGTACTCCAGGCCCCAGAAAGCTCTCACACAGATTGTGGGAAAGAGAGAGAGAGGGTTATCTGTTCCACAAAAAGTCCATGATTAAAAAAAACTGGAAATGGAAAAGTTCAGCAGCCCTTCTGAAAGGCTGACTGAATCATGACAAATTTGTCTCTTTGCAGAATCACCACTGTATTCCTGTTCTCTTCCATCCATTAGCTTCAACCCTAGAGTGCCTATAGATTATTTTTTTATATACTCCCTGTCTATCCATATGCCAACTTATTACCAATCCAAAAATGTTAATACACAAACACACAGCGAGAATGGCTTCATAAATATCATGTAAGCAGCAGAATCATACCATTAAGATTTAAACTGATGGAAACTCATATGTTTACCATGATTAATGGCTAGTATCCAGTGGGCGGTAGTGATGAGGAGACCCTTATTTAATGGGCAGCGTGTTTCAGTTTAGGCAAAATGTGTGACTGTATTCTGGCGTTAAACAGATGGCATTGGATTCTGTCTGTCTGGCTGTCTGACTCATTGGCATCTGCTCCAGCTGGCATGGCAACTCACCTTGGCACAGACTGGCACCTCTGTGAGATGGTTTGGTCCTCTGTAAACAAGCAAATTCAAGGTCCTACTGCCAGTGTGTGCCCGACAGCAAGGAGAGGCTCAGCTTCTCCTTTCACATGTATCCTTTTGGCCACACTTGGTGACAGACTTGATATTTCAAGGTGAAAAGAAACCCGGTGGTTAGACTGGAGGCTGAATAGATAGATAATTTTTATATTTATATGCTGAATTTCTGTCAGCCAAATATTTTATTCATCTTAGAAGTCACTGACATAAGTATTACATGCACATGTAGCTCTACAGGGGTTGCTTGCCGCACAATAGGGTTTCTTCCTGCTCAAATTACTATTAAGTCATCCCAGTGGGCAATATTCATCTTATTAATTAATAATATAAAATAATTAAGCAAATTAGCAAGATGTCCTTCAAGATAATTAATGCTCAAGTCACTGTGTCACCAGTATTGCCACAGTGGACTCTGGATGCTTACGAATACATTCATAATTAATACTCCCTCTCAGTCTATTAGGATTTGGTGGTTTTTATGCAACTGTAACCTCATGGGAATAAACAAGAACACAAGATTGATTGACATTTCTGAGAAATGTAACACTGCACTTCACATTTTAATCTGAATGACAATTAAATGTACTTAAAATAAGAGAACAAGTCCATTTAAATTTCTTCTCTGTGTTGAAGAGAGGAAAATCATTTCACCGAAACAAGCCACTAGAGTACTGCAGGATTAATTAACATAGTCTAATGAATCATTTGTATGTGCCGCATGCACTGACAGGTCTTAAGTGACCCGAAGTGTGTTTTATTGATCTCAGACATGGAGAATAATTTATCAATATATTCCAAACAAAATTCCATCACCGAACGCAGTTCATCATAATGCCTCGTGCTTCATTGCATCAATGCCACATGTAGCATTTAGATCTTTGTTATTTGAATCAAAACATAGGTTGGAATATTTGACAGCCAAACAGAATAAAAGAATCCAGCAACAAATTTATTTTGTAGGTGACCCATGAACTGCTTAGTAGCAAAGATCACAGTGTTGCATTATTATGCCCATAAGCAAAACCCACAGTGGCTCTACAGAGAGTCAGTGCTGTAATCAGTGACTAAAATCAAAACTATTAAAAATAATTTTTCATTAAATAGAAATAAAGCTGAATTAAATTGGAATATTAGATGAAAAACTTATCAGAAATGTAGCTTTGGCAAGTAACTAGGACAAAAATAAAAAAAATTACTAAAACTATCACTGAAATAAAAATAAAACTAACTAGAACCTAAACCAAATTTAACATGAAAAATTTTTTAATATAAAACAAAAGCTTATTCAATATATCAATAAATACTATAATGGTATATAAATAATACTAAATCAGAGAATACACTTTCTGTAGCTTTTGGAATATCCTAAATATGATCTTCTCCCAGAGTCCAGCATTGTTTGTTTCTTCCTAATCTATAACATCACTGTACAAACATAAAAAGGACCTGACCCAGTCTCAGCAGTGACTCTTGATGCCCTGCAGGTTGGCACTGAGTTTTTTCAGTTTTCATATATAAAATGAAACCATTAATAGCATTCTCTGAAGTGCCATTTGGACATTTTAGAGTTATTACAGCAGTGTTTATGTGTGTGTCTGAGGATTTATCTGTCAGTCATGGTTGCTATGGTTTTATTTCTCACACTTTATCATTTGTGTCCTATAATTCAAACAATGCCTAATAATATCTAAGCAATCACTCAAGATGCATATGTTCCAGAAATTAGCTAGACTCACCCATATCACGTCCTCTTGTCTATACGGTCTCCAGGTTCGTCCAGAGTCACTGTACTGCAGCTGGTAGCGAGCGACCCAGTCAGAGCTGCCCCATCGACCCTGGGTAGCAATGGATGTGACCTTCAACCTGTCCTGTAGGTCCAGCTGTAGCCAAGGTTGTTGGTCTTCTCCATTTGGAGACCATCCCCCACCACCTAAAAGGACAGATTAAGTGCCTTAAAAAATACAGAGGAATGAAACAGAATTGGGGCGTAATTCTCCCCACGATTCAAGCACTCACTAAGATTTCATACTCTGGTTCATCATGCTGACAGGACTGAAGCTTAGTGGTCAGAGGAAAAAATGAATTAAATTTGTTCCAGCAGTTTTGTGGCTCGGCCTCTCTCTTTTTGATATAGAAATCGCCAACCCATCCCTGGAGGACAGCAGACAGACCTCAGCGCAGTATAATATTACAGCGGTTAAAAAAAGGCAATTTGGAAATTACACAGCAAATTCCTTGTAATTTTTCCTGCATCGATTGTTCAGAAAGGAGACACTCACACACACACAACAACTATACAGAATTCTTGGAAATATTTGTCCACCCACGCAGATGTACTGAGTACCCACCTCCTTTTCTTTTTATTTTGCCAGAATTCACTGAACAGTACCTGCAGGAAGGATCATGCTGGCAGACAGGAGAATCTATAAATTGAGCAAGTGGTACATTAAAGGAGCTGTGTTTGATTTCTGCAGGTGGCATGATAGCAAAGAAATGACATGTACCTTGGAACAACGAAAAAGAACACTGCCCACATTTTCTAATGCAAAATTAGTTTTTGGTTTCTAAAATAATTTCTGGCATGAATGCAGAACATCTTCAGAAACTGCATCCTTTGAATCTGCCGAAGAAATAGGCTCAAGCTATGGGTGTGCTGCAAAAGTGCTGATTTTCACAAGTATCAGCACGACTGTGAAATGTCATATGTCATTGTTTATTAAACTACTTCATAAAAAAAGTTAACATTTGATTTACAATTTATAGACACAATGATTTCAGTTTTGTCTGTTTTCACTTTACATTGCCAAACAAAAATTTCCAAATGAAACCACAGTGCCTCTGAGCAACACATAGTGGTGCTTTGTTACTAAATAAATCTGAGGGTAAAAATGTAAAAAAAAAATAATTATATCTATATTATGACCGTTTCTGATGGAAAAACCATACTAGGATTATAAATGCACCTTAGAAAACATAAAATAATTTAAAAAAATAATTTCATAATCATCGTTTCATTAAAAAAAATCTATAAAAAACATCCTCATAGCATTACTTATGCAATTGTAAAATCAGTGAAAATGCTTGTAAGCAACTCTGAACTGCAATTAACAGTCTGTACTGAATGCTACTAAAGATGCCATTTTATGCCACTTGTCCAGTGTAAAGAAGGATTTAAGTTTTAAGTAAGGATATTGACATACAATGCATACATCTGTAAGCTTCTGACAATTAGCATTATAAAGGTAAAAATATTGCCTCAATGCAAAAGTTCATGAAATATCATATCGACAAAATCCCAGAAAATATATAGAGATGTGTTTTTTTTTTGTCAATAATCACACACACACACCTAGCTCAAGTTAAAGCTGCTTTTCGAGAGAACATCAAGCTGGGGTGGAAGAAGGAAACCCTCAAGGTCAGGTGTGATAGGGTTGCCTCGGGGCAAGTCAGAACAAGATGGTCAGATAATAAATGCTTCATCAGTGCTGTTCGGTGACTGGGTACATATCATCTGTGAAGATTTTCACAAAAGGTCAGGATGAACACTCTGAGCTCATTACATTCCAGTGCAGGCTTCATGAGGAGGAAGATAAACCATTCGTATACAGCATGTGCATCCAGAAAATGTATTTTTAGCCGGAGCAATTTATTAAATAATTTACAAACTGACAGAAATAATAAGCACAGACATAAATTACAACTTACAGGTCCTGTATTCCAATGACCATCAGAGGCAGATAATGAATAGATGGGAAGATCAAACGATAACAACATTTGGTGTCTGTACACGTTTGGATCAGGCTGGCAGTGACTGGGAACAAACTGCCTGTCTGTGTCTCACAGCAAAAGGAACCTCCTGCTGTTACTAAGCAAGAGGCATGACGAGAAAAAGAAACGCCTTGGGGGTGACAGGGACAAGCCGACATATCGTAGCCCCACTTATTACTGCTGGAAGGCACCACTGATCCAAAAAGTTACGAATCCACTATAGAGTTTGGTAGTGTGATCATTTGTGAGTGCCACCTAGCATCATAAGGAAGTTCTTGGAGTGTGTTTGGGTCATGAGGTCAAGCATCTTACGGTGCACAAAACAAAGCTCTCAGAGGGCCTTGGCATTAGCTGGTATTTATGACATGTCTATGCTTAACTGCTTAATTGGCTGGGGAGTTTTCTCAAGTGCTTCTACAGGCTGTAATCAGCTGCTGATTGTAAGGTTGCATTAATCAAACTGCTCTCCACCTCCCTGAAGTAAAAACCACAACAAGTTTGCTTAGTCATAATTTATACAGCCCTCTTGTTATACCCCGTGCTTTGCCAAAGCTCAGTCTGGCACAATAGTTCAATGGTGAGTGTTTTAGGATCATTAAGCAAATCAAGAGCAGTCATTATACTCTTTCTGGATTTGACTCCTGATGGTTTCTGGGGCTGCTGTTGTTCAGGAAACATGCATTTACTGGCATTTCTGATTTAAACAGATTCAAACTAAAATAATAATAATAATAATAATAATAAATGTCATCATTTACTCACATTCCAAACCTGTTTGGCTTTATTTCTTCTGTGAAACACAAAATACATTTTGAAGAATGTTGGTATTGTAACAAAAAGGTTTTGGACACAATTGACTTGCATTGTACAAAAAAAATTAAAATTAAAATAACAGGCATCTTTCAAAATATCATCTTTTATGATCCACAGTAGAAAGAAGAGGTCATACATTTTTTGGAACGACACAAGGGTGAGCAAATAGTAACAAAATATTCATTTTGAATACATTTTCCTTTAAATTCATGTTAGACAACATCTTCAAAAAACTGACCAGGGCTGCGTTTATTGGTGCCACTGATTTTTTTCAATCTTCAAGCTATTGGATGAAAATCTGCAAACACTGAATGAGCATTTGTAAACATGGATTTGAATATTAACTGACGCCAAGCATTAAGGGAGAAAAAACTCCCTTGACAAATTTGATTACTAAAACTTCTAAAAAAAATTTAATTCCTTTACCTTCCCTTGAGTCCGAATTTACAATCGTTGTTGCATATTGTCATTAGAGATTTATGTTTGTCTATGTCTTGTCACACTTGAGAAATGACTTAAAATCTTAAAATGTTGCTTCAGGCACAGCTAATCACCAGAGCTTTTCACATCAGTACTGCTCATGGACACCAGCAGACTGTTACATTCCCTCCAACGAAAGTATAAAGTCTTCTAATACTTTTTTGCAGTGTTTGTGGAAGTCGCATTACGTTAGGAATTCATAAAAAAGCTTTACGTCAACACTTTCCTCTGACAAGGACACATTTCCCTTCTGCTTAATTCTCTAGTCACATAAACACAGACAACTGTGGATGTTTTTTTTTGGTACAAATAGGGCAGGAGAACAACGAGACAGGAGCACATACCTTCTCTTCTGTTGAGTTTAGCATAGTGTGGTGACCTTCTGTCAGATAATTTTGATGAGTTCTGGAAGGAAGCTGGGGGTAGTGTCGTCACCAGTGGATCTTCACAGTAATCTGGATACAAATATAATGAAAACTTGCATTACAACCAAAAACCTTTAGTTGTTCATTTGAAATACAAAAGAGCTAATAAAAATAACTTTTAAAAGTATTAAGCAAAAACCTATTTTTATAGGGAAAATTTTAAATATTCTACTCTATACTATATCATATTGAACTGACTGACAGCTTCAGTGATTATAAAAGGAGTGCTCTTTACTTGCTTATTGTGTAATTCTATCACAATTTGAAGAACTTTTTGATTTTCTTGAGACTTTTCCTAACTTTCCATACTTAAGTACAAAAAGTGTCAAGATTTGACACTTGGCCCGCGAGTATCTGTTTTGAGCTTGAACTGCGCATATTGCTTCGAGCTGATGAATGGTCCACGCAGCACAGCTCAAACGAATAGTGTAGTTTCGTTCCTCTTTCATTTCATTTGATGTTTCTCAGATGCAACAGAAATAGCAGATCTTATCAGATGGACAATGTGGTGATCGCACCAGTGCAACCTCTAACAAAATTTAGTCGCACTGGCAAGAAAAATGATCAGAAAATGCAACCATTTGATTGCAGCCTTGCAGGGTTTATTCAATCTTATATAAATATTATTACATGATTTTTATTTTACAATATGATAATAAATAATCTTATTGCATGCAATAAATATTATGTTTTTTGTTTGTTTGTTTGTTTTGCCGGATACAGTTGACTAAAAAGATAATTTCAGCTCATTAATGGGGTTCAAATCTGAAACAAAACAACTTTAACTCTCTTTTAATTGCAGTGGTGGAGTCTCATATTGCAGGGTGTAATGTAAAGTCATCTGCTCTCTGCAAAGACGGCCAGTTTGTGAGAGTTAATTAAAGTCTCGAGTCTTGCAAGCTGTCACAAGTAGCCTGCCTTTCATCCGCCTGCATTGTGAGTGCCAGTCTGTCACTGACCTCAGTCTGTTTTTAAAGAATTTATTTCAATGTTTCATGTTTGAAAATGTCTGGATTGTCAGGAATTGTATACTCCTTCAAGATCTTGAGTTTCATAATAGGATTCAAAAACAAAGCTGGGAAAAGGGAGGTTCAAATGTGAATTTTTTTTTAAATCGGTACATTATGTGACAGTACCAGCTGAATCAGACAGTTCATTCAAATCTTGTCAGTTTATTACAGCAGTGGTAATTTTAGTCTTGTGACTTTTTTTTGCTCAGTGTGGTTGGCAAGAATACCCATGTGCTAAAGGTCAAGGCCCTTTTCAGTTTGGATGAAAGAGACTGAAAAGCATTTCTATGGCCGTCAGTTGTAAAGTGAGGAATGTACAACCAATTACAAACTGCTTTTCATATATCACCCATGTAAAAACATTATACATATACCCATGCAACCAACCATCGAACACACGACTGCTTTTATACGGACAAAGACTAAATGCCATGAAGGTCATGTGAGACCGCACCGGATGTAAGACTATTGTACCTTAAAGGTAAATAACATGGCGTAATTTGCTTTTCTTGCATCCTTCAATGGTCTTTTCCATGGAAACACACCGATCAAAAGAACTCTAATGAACCGCAGCTCGACAGCCCAAACACATTAGTCTCGAGCCTCCAAAATATGCATGTATCGTCAGAATAACAAAACAATGAACAGCAGGTTAGGGAGCCATTAGCTGTGTCCAGGGAGCATTTTAAAGCTCTCTCCTGTTTCAGCAGCGTAAGCACTTTGCAGCACTCTCCATGGACCAGGGTAAAAATATATCCTTATTTAGAGGGCCTCTGCGTTTGTGGCAACATTTTGCCTGACAATCACTCATTTGACATTGAATTGTCTACTCCCCGTTTTGATGCTCCCTATGGTCATTTCTCCATCTCTTTTGTTCTCTCCTCCTCCTCAATCTCGCCCATCTTTCTGTTCACCCACTCTTCAATTTCTGTTTTCCCTCCTCCTCGCTCGCCATCTCACACATACGCACTCCCACTTTCTCTTCAACTTAATGAGAAAAGAGAGAAGTCTCACCATTGTGAAGGGGCTCACATGCGTTATTGTCACCATAAGAGAGCTATAATCTGAGTCAGCAGTGCTCTCCGCTGCATCAGAGAGAACAGCTGCGGCATCGTCCTTTCACTCTCAGCTAAGCAAATGACACGCAGCAGCTCCCTCAGATTTACTCCTACTGTAATAAGTAGCATTTTAAGAAAGTTCACGGAAGAAAGTGATGAAATGTCCTACTAAATGTTCTGCAAAGTTCATCTCAGGTTGATTTGTTTGCACTGAAAATACAACCTCAGGGATTACAAATGATATACCTGACGTTTATGTGACACCCTCAAGGGTATGACATCATTTGATGGGTACAACAAAATATTTCATGTCTGAATTCACAAGAAGGACCTTATAAATTTCACTGAAGCGCATATTTCTGAACTTCTGCATGTCCTGAAAGTAATCAAGCCCTTTCTGCGTGGGAAAATTAATAAAGAGCCACTGTCAGGATTATAAACACACTGGAGGTCTTGTTGACTCCAGCGATATTTCTAACAGGATTTTTTCATTAAATAAAGTTAATTTCCCAATGGAGTGTCTAGACCCGAAGATGTTACAGATGATAAGGGCACACAAAACTGGACGGTAACACTTTATATTTACTTTCATTAATAAATCATTAACAAACATTATGTAATGCTTAACGGATCATTAGTTTATATATATATATATTCACATATCTAGAAACGTGAAATAATGTGCTTGTTAATGTTTACTAATAAATGTATTAAACATTACCTAATAATTAACATTTCATTTAAATTAAAATGCTTACAAAATGTCATTAAACTTCTAATTCATATGATCATGCACATCTTGAAAATCTACAAATGATTTTAACAGATGGTATACAATGAATAAAAGCTTTTGTCAATGCACAACACCTTTGCTGCTGTTGAGGTGTGATACGGGTAGGGTAAGGGACAGGTTTGGTGGTATGGGTAGGTTTAAGGTTGGGTAAGGGGTCAACAAGTGTACAGGGGTCAATTTGATTACTATAAGGGAACACGATTCAATCAGTTTATATTGCATTGTTTTGATAAATGATAAACTATTTTTTAAGTATTTTCTTGGAAATTTGATTTTCCCCCCTTCTGTTGATGTATGACTCAAGGAATATTCTGTTTAATGATACACAGTAGTATACTAATACAGTGGCGGCTCGTCGGGGGAGGCAGGGGAGGCACAGCTTCCCCATAATTTTGAGGTGAAACTGGGAGGAGGACGATTTATTGTTAATACAATTCACAATTCATTTCAGTTCATGTCTCAGAATGTGTATTTTTTTTTGTAATTTCACAGTTGTAATAACATAACGTGAAAGCGCCACTTTTCTATCGCGAATGTGCCGAATCTGCTGATGTTTTACAACCGCTAGGTGATATAGAAGGGTAGGGGGAGGCCGGGGGAGAGATGAGCTCTCGTGCCTCCGTTGGTAAAAAAAAATTAGCCAATCAGCATCGAGTGTTCACTTTCAGCGCTGAGGACTGTTGAGAAAATAAACCTCGTAGGGGAGGCTAGCCTCCCTTCTGATATCAACCAATCATCAGAGACGTAAATTACGTGATATTAGTTTGAACGTCTCCAGCTGCGCTGATAATGTAACAAGTACTTATGATGAGTAGCAATATTGAATATTTGATCTCCAACAGATTTACCAAGCTGTCATTCAAACAGT